AACACAACTTTGAGCAGGTAAAATCAGGTTCTGATCTAACAGCTAAACCATCAGCTTCGCTCCAGTTCCAAACGGGACCCTCAGGTAAATTCAAACAAGTTTCCCTGTGGGTTCGTAACACAAGATACAAACAGTTTGATAACCAAATCGCTTATGAGCCTGCTCCCACTGATACGTCCAAACTCGTGTCTCTGTGGGTCCGCAATACCAGATTCAAAACTCTATTCTGACCGACTATTCTGACCGGATTCTTGTCCACTGACTGGTGGACCGTTACAAATTCTCTCGTTTGTGGGATGAATTTTTAACAAATGTGATATCCTTTGAGTTTTTTTTTCAGGTTACCTGCCTCCAGCCAGGGTCCTGTTACTAACTCACATCTTTAGGGATTACTAACCTACTGATTTACATTTTTAGAACTGATTTACATCTCTATCTTTTTATTAGTGCTTTGTGTAGCATGATTATATTTGATTACAAATTTAATTTTATTTTGTTGCTATTTCCCTTAAAGGGCCACAAGCCAATTTGCCCTTCATTTTCATGATTATTATTTCTTTTATATACATGCCTTTAATTAGTGCAGCCTGCTGAGTTTCACATATCAGTTAGGATTTACTTTCTTTTATTTGTGTTTTCACTGCATCACGTTTTTACATGACACGTAGAACAGGGTGCAGAACATTTCTTCTTTAGATAATTCACAAAAGGCACCCACATTTTCCCAGAGGCACCCATAGATAGGTTTTGATTGATTTCTTTGTTTTGCATCAAATGCTATCTGTCGTGTGGGCTGTCTCACTTTGTCTCCTTCTCCGAGCTCGTATGGACTACATCCCATCAGAGGGGCCGTCTTCACCATCCTTCAACTGGTTTTCTGTGGCATGGGGCTTCGGTCGTGGTTCGAGATGGGTCGAGGTCGTCACTGGACTTCGCCTGGACTACGCCTGAGGAATACATCATCTGCCAGCTCCGTGTGGCACACGAGCTGCTTATCCTTTGCATACCTTTGCATTATTGCTGATGAAATTAACTGCTATTGGCATAGCTCAGCTTTCAAGATTTCCTAAGTGGATTACTTTACAATGATTGCAACAGTTTTGGCCTTAATCATCTGATCAGGATAGACTCCCTTCTACACGAGACCTGTGGAGACGCTTCATCGTTCCTGCCTTCATCTGGGATGTCTACCTTCACGAGTACATCACGTTATTGTGTTTGTAACGGCAGGTGGCCTGTGCTTGACCACCATGTCGTCACAAAAAGGGGGGGTATGTAACGTGAGGAAATATGGGTTTTCTATCACAAAGGTGGTGTTGGACTCAGCTGTGTCAAAGCTGGGTCGCTGAGAACTTTCACCCACAGATTAAGACCTGAACGCCAGCGAGTCTGGGAGGAAACCATAACATCTGCCACCTGCAGTCTACCAGAAGATGTGTTTACATGAGTTGTACCCAGACCAAGTCAAAACATAAAGTTTAAACTTCTTTTTCTTGATTTTAATGTTAAAGTAACCATTATCATTTTGCTCATTATAAATGTGATTAATCAAATGAATGACTATTTAGCTTTGGGGTAATTATAATGGTTTAATGAATCCATTCTTAAATAATGTTGAGAATGTTTGTTACTGACCTTCACACACACTCAAGCACAAACATTCACACACATCCACACACACCTGCTCACAGTAAACTCCAGACACATTTGATGACGCACGTTTGCTTTGAGAAGAGAAAGGTTTTTGGTAAGCTTCAGTCTTATGATTCAGTTCGTGTTGGGCCACGAGAGAGAGAGGACTTGTGAACAACCGCTAACGGGGAACGGAGCCCATGGGCTCAATCCCCCCCCCTCCTCTCACGCTGTTTCTGCCACGCCAGGCAGAATAGCTGAATCGCAACTTCTAACACAGACTCATTACCGAGTCTTTTGATTTCTGAGTGAATTAACTTAAGAAAGCGCGTCGACAAAACGCTTTACCATCAACGTGTACCGAGGGGCAACTCTGGACCGGGTCGCAGCGCATCTTTGTCTTCTTTGCCAGCCAAGGTGACCTGGATGAAACATCCTAAGGTGACGTCCCGGGTCCAACAGAGGGTCCGATTTTCGGTGAGGCAAAACACGACAGATAGCGTTTTGATGCATCTTTTCCACTAAACCTAAGTTTATTCAAACCATCACTTCACTCAGACACCTGTTTCTTCCTGAAGCAACATCAGAGGCACACATGCATTCATCTCATCTCATGTTCAATTCTCACTACACTTGGCACCCACACGCATCCATAATCACATCATATCACTCTCAATCTTCATTCACCTACAGAAGGTCTATTTGAGCATTAACAGCATATCAACTGTTAAAGAGATTGTCCCACAAAGTTACTAATGTTGATTGTATTTCCTGTTTGTCAATTTCAAAATCATTAGTTTAATTTGAAGAATTAAAACTTTTAAACGTCAAACTGGTTTCCTCATTGAACTGAAACACAGACACTCAGATATTATCGGCAGTTTATGGATGAAAACAACCTTTGAGTCTTCTGAACAATATAAAATTTGGTTATTGATTTATTAAAATTAATATTCCGAATTAATACGTAGCATGGTTTCTCTTTCATAAAAGAGCATAAATCCATAACGCTACACACACTAACAAAATACTATCAATCAATTGTATAATACATGTTTAAATGCACAGCATCATCAGTGCCTGATCCAGGAATTACTGCACAGAAATGGCTCAAAAACAAAAGTTTTTAATACATTTTGTGCAGCAGGTGGTATGTGCCCACTTATGTCCCCACTGAGGCCACCCCCACCTTTTTACCACCCTTCCTTTTCCTTTCAGGCCTGGAAATGATGGAGGGCTCTAAATGACACAGGAAACAAGATCTCTGAGAGAAAAGATGATCCCCTTCCTGTCACAGCTTCAACTAATTGATCTGTTTGTGATTTGGATAAAAGGGCGAAAGGGACTTCTTTCTTTCCTTGAAGACACTTAACCAGCAATCTCAACTCAAACCAGAATGCTCATAAGGACCAAGCACCATCAGGACACCAGAATAGATGAGAGCTACAGCCAGAGATAGAAGAGAGGTGTGTGTGTGTGTGTGTGTGTGTGTGTGTGTGTGTGTGTGTGTGTGTGCGTGCGCGTGCGTGTGCGTGTGTGTGTGTGTGTGTGTGTGTGTGCACCTCCAGGTTACAACTCAACAGAGCATGTTGTGTGTGACTTCTCATCTCTTCAGAGCTGTAAAATGTTCCCAGTAGACTTAAAATGTGACTGCAAAAATGCTCCAGTGTTTACTACGGTGTACGGTATTACTGCGACTCATTTAAAATGATGATGTAAGCCTCAAGTGGAACGGCCAAAGTGTTGGTTTGGACCTTTCCCATTCAGAAACGGAATAAAACTATTACCAAAACAATAACAACATAACACACATATTAATAACAAGAGAAAACAACCTTTTCCAGGTTCTACATATGGTAAAGGGCCTGCATTTGTAAAGAACCTTCTTAGGGTTCTACAACCCCCCAAGGCGCTTCACAACACATTCACCCATTCACATGCTGGTGGGGATGAGTTACGATGTAGCCACAGCTGCCCTGGGGCGTACTGACAAAGGCGAGACCGCCAAACACTGGGAGACAACAGCAGCATTGTCTGGTCAGAGCCGGGATCGAACTTGCAACCTTCCGATTACTGCACAACCCACTCTACCTCCTGAGCTACTGCTGCCCCTTAACTCATTCACTGCCATTGACGATTTAAGTTGTCATTTAGAATGTTTTTACTGTGTGGGCGTCGGAACGAGCCCCCGCAACGTGAGAACAAACATCTCAGCTCTAAAGCTGATCTTCGTCCATGTAGGTCACGTGATCAGGAAGCAGAAAATCCATGTGTTAGGAGATCGTTTTGGGCCACTGCTGTAAAAAAACATGAGACGTGAACCGGAAAAGCTTCTGCCGATCACAATTCGACAACGGATTATGAAAGAACGGATAACGCTCGAAACGCACGGATTCCTCCTGATGTAAGAGGTGAGTCTTTGCTTTGTTTTGGTTGTTTTGGCGTCGACATCATCCTAGCGCGCAACGTTCTGTGACTCTAAAAAAACTGTGAAAATGCTGAAAAATGCTGGCAGTGAATGAGTTAAGTTAAATGTTATTTAAATGGCATTCTATAGTATTTAGAATGACTTGTTCTGGAATTCATCTGTTATGTGAGAATGTTCCATGTATATCCCATCTGGGCGAGCTGCAAAGCAACTCCCTGCCACCATTACAGTTGTGTATCCGGCCCATTATAGTACATTTACTATTGTGTTTACATGGGTCTGGACCACCTCCTTAACTCATTCACTGCCAGCCGTTTCCTGATCACTAACGGCCTTCGCTGCCAGCGTTTCTCACCGTTTTTACTGTTTTTTTAAGAGTCACAGAACGTTGCGCGCTAGCATGATGTCGATGCCAAAACAACCTAAACAAAGAGGAGACTCACCTCTAACATCAGGAAGAAGCCGTGTGTTTCGAGCGTTATCCGTTCTTTCATAATCCGTTGTCGAATTGTGATCGGCAGACGCTTCTCCGGTTCGCTCCTCACTTTTTTTGCAGGAACGGCCCAAACGATCTCCAAACACATGGATGGTCTGCTTCCTGATCATGTGATCTGTGACGTATGCGGATGAAGATCGGCTTCAGGGCTGAGATGTTTGTTCTCTCAGCGCGGGGGCTCGTTGCAATGCTCAAACAGTAAAAAAATGCAAATGACGACTTTAGTCGTCATTGGCAGTGAACGGTTGAATCTAAAATGACGACTTTAGTCGTCAATGGCAGTGAATGAGTTAACTTAGTGTAAGCTCAGAGAAACGTTACATTTATTGCTGGATTGTGTCACAATAAAAATGTCTGTCTCAGCACTTTAAGGTGAAGGGAAACAGGCGCTGAGACAGGAAGTTAAGGAAGCAGTAATAAAAGGACTCATTAAAAGCCACTGACCTCCTCTCGGGACTGAGGACGGCCTCTCTCTCCTGCCGGTTGGGGCTCCTGAAGCGACTCCTCTTCTCGGCCTTTCTGGCCTCAGCCTCAAGCCGCCGGGAGCGTGGAACGTCATGGTGGCTGGGTCTGTGGCTGGTCGGGTGGCTTTCAGTGCTGGTGACGGTGCAGCCGCTGGCATCTGAGTCCAGAGAGCTGACGGAGCCACTGATGTGGGAGCCATTTGACAGCAGAGAACTGCTGGAAGGGAAGGGGTCACTGGGCACAGGAGAGAGGCAGCGCGGGACTCCTCCTATGCTGGAGCACGAGCCCGTCGGGGAGAGAGGGTCTTTAGTGGGCTGGAGCAGGGAGCCGTGCAGCACAAGGCCTCCACGGTCCACATCATCACCGTTCACCGAGCCTCCTTCAGAACTCTGGCCTATAGACACAAGGTCACCTAGAGAGGAGGACAGGACCAGTTAGCAGACAGATCATTGTTCATTAAAGGTGATTTATTTCACTAATTCAGTTCAAAAAGCGAGACTTGTATATTAGACTCATTCATTACACACAGACTGATATATTTATGTTGATGATTATTACTGTCAACTAATGAAAATCCCAAATTCGATATCTCAGAATATTAGAATATCAATTAAGACCAATGCAAAAACAGGAATTGTAGAAATGTTTGCCAACTGAAAAGCATGAGCATGTACAGAGCTCAATATTTAGTTGGGGCTCCTTTGGCCTGGATTACTGCAGCAATGCAGCATGGCGTGGAGTCCATCCGTCTGTGGCACTGCTCAGGTGTTATGAGAGCCCATGTTGCTCAGATCATGGCCTTCAGCTCTTCTGAACTGTTGGGTCACCCTTTTCACACCACATAGATTTTTTATGGGGTTAAGGTCAGGCGAGTTTGTCGGCAAATCTAGAACAGGGATACCATGGTAACACGTATTTGTGGGTTAAGAGTTGGTGCTGGGGGTCCTTAAGGTAGAAAGGTTGGAAACCACAGCGTTAGAGCCATCAGGTTCAGGAAAAACTGGTTTAGGCCACATTCTGGGACAGATGCACATGATTTGTTTTGTTTATTATATTTTATAATTAAAGGTTTTGTTTAGGGCTGTTAATTCTGCTTTAATTCAATGATATGAAGCAGAGTGAAAACTACGATTCTCCTCACCTGCAGGGGGCAGCGGTGACCCTGAAGGCTGCTCAGAAGCAGCCCAGGTAGACACGTTCTCAGCCTCCCTCTGGCTTAGCTCTTCCTGCCAGATGATGCAACTGGAATCTGGACTCGTATCCGTTTCAGGAATTCCAGATCCAGTCACCGCTACCTTGGCTGGACCCGGCTCCTGGAAGTCGACACAGACGTACGTTAAAAAACAAAGGATTCAATTGGAAATATAAAACTTCACATCATGAGGTAAGAAAACGACCTGGGAGGTGGCTGGCTCCACTTTGCGTTTCTTCTTCTGGTTCTGCTTGTTCGTTCGAGGATAAACAATCAGCTGTTCGCTCCACCTACCAATGCACCAACAGCCACCATGTTGGTACTTGTACATGAGCATCCCACCAACCCTTTCAATGGAAACACCAGGGACTTACCCGTTGATGATCTCTTTACTCTCTCCTCTGATGAAGAACTCCTGTTCGGGGGTGATGATGCACAGCGAGTTTTTCTGGCCCGTTTTGGGCTCTGCGTCGATGACGTCTGTGCAGAGGTTCATGTTCACTGTGCCCTGAGGCAATGTGCTCGGCTGTGGGATACAAAACACAGCAAATAAGTCATGACTGATAAGCTAACAGCTAGCACAGCCACAGCCAGAGTGTACTGCTGCCATCTTAAAACAGGACCGTCAAAATAAAAGCCTAATTAGTCACACAGAAAAACAGACAGGCTACATTTTTTATGACGAGACAAACAGTCAGTGTTTCGCATGTTTTGGTTAAACTTCTTGATGTGGTTTATTGCAGATTACAAGGTTCTTATAACTTTATTCAGGTACTTTCCAGCACCTTACTGATGATTTACACATTCATGAGTAGTTCATTGTCAGAAAGGTTGACTTCAATCTAGGGTTGTCACGATACTAAAATTTCAAACTCGATTCGATACTTGAAAAAAACTCGATACTCGATTTCGATACTATTTAAAAGCACCCATTTATCGAACAAGTTTATTCAAAAAATAACATTCCTCAATTTATATTACAAAAATTAAATGTTAAGAATTAAGTGTATTAAGTGCTTAAACCTTTCAAGTTTCAGCATTTTTTAAAACGTGCATACAAAAACTGGTGAAAGTTAACACTTTAAATCATGAATTGTCTCACTATATATACACTATTTGCAGAGTGATGTTTTGCTGCTTAAACTCTGTTTAAGGTGCATTTTTGTCATAAGATGTAATGCCATATGTTTTGTTCTGTACTTTTGAACAACTCTGTTGGTCAATAAAGGGAGAAAATGAATTTCTCCACAGTAGGACAAAGGTACATCTACCGGTAATCTTAATAAAAACAGACTGGCGCACGGCAGTGATGTCATTAAAAGCGCCGGTTAGATTAGCCGCAGCTAGTCTGTTTACGCCTAGAAATCCCAGACCAGACCCGCTCCAAACGAACAGGGGAATCACGTTAATGTTTCCTAACAAAACCTTTCGACATGAAGATGTTTTGGTGCAGATAATGTCTTATTTCGAGGCTGCACCATGGGTGCCCGTCCGCACCCGTTATATGGATATATACGCAGACGGAGATTCGCTGATGGATCTAAATACCCCGGGGGATCCAAGTAGCACCAAAGTTGTCAGCGTGAGTAAACAAACGTACTGCATGCTAGAAATTAAGTCCGGGTTGCAATAAACGGGAGTTTCCTTTAAGCACATAAGCGTGAATATACAACTACGTGTCGGACTTGGTATGCTAATTAAGTTGGGCTGTGAAGCGCCTCCCAAATTCGCTGTTTTTGTTTTTGTTTATTTATTTGGCAGACAAAACTTGGATTGGAGACAACTCGCGTGGGAAATTGCAATGTAGCCATGTGGCGTCTTCTTCTGTTTGTCTGGGAGGCGGAGGCTGCTTTACGGCATCTGGCTGTTGTGCGTGTCGGTGTACTTGAAGAAGGCTGTGTATAATAGTCCATAATATCGATACCACAGGGATGGAATATCTAATTTAGATACCACTTTTAGTATCGATTTATATCTGGGTATCGATTTTTTTGACAACACTACTTCAATCCATAATGTGAAAAAAGCAAACGTCCTTTATTACTTGTGAATTTTACACAGAAACACACTAGAAAAACAGAAATGTCTCTTTAAAAATGGGGAAGTTACTGGTTTGTTTGGGTTTGCGTCCACCCTGCGGTTTGTTTGCATATCTGATGAGTGAGCTGCCGACTAAACATAGATATCCAAACAGTTCCAAACTCTAAACATAAAAGATCTGACAGAAAACTGCACAGAGTTTAAAGACCTGGACTACATGTCACCATGGTTACAAAAAGACAACAAAAGAGCAAAATGATGCTTGAGAAAAGTTGTCTGGAGCAAAAGAAAATCAAACATTTTATGATCATCATGCCAGATCAGACCTAATCTGGCATGATGATCTACAAATCAGACGCGGATCAATACCTTACATCATCATCACCATCATTATAATCATCAACAACACAACCACCATCATCATCATCACTCCCGCCACCACCTCCGCCATCATCATCATCACTACCACCACCTCCATCATCACTACCACCACCATCATCACTACCACCATCACCACCATCATCACTATCACCATCACCACCATCATCACTACCACCACCATCATCACTACCACCATCACCACCATCATCACTGTCACCATCACCACCATCATCACTACCACCATCACTATCACCATCATCACTATCACCATCACCACCATCATCACTACCACCATCACCACTACCACCACCATCATCACTATCACCACCATCATCACTACCACCATCACCACCATCATCACTATCACCATCACCACCATCATCACTGTCACCATCACCACCATCATCACTACCACCACCATCATCACTATCACCACCATCATCACTACCACCACATCATCATCATCATCATCATCATCACTACCTCCACCATCATCATCATCATCACTACCACCATCACCACCATCATCACTACCACCACCATCATCACTATCACCACCATCATCACTATCACCATCACCACCATCATCACTACCACCACCATCATCACTACCACCATCACCACCATCATCACTACCACCACCATCATCACTATCACCACCATCATCACTATCACCATCACCACCATCATCACTACCACCATCACCACCATCATCACTGTCACCATCACCACCATCATCACTACCACCACCATCATCACTATCACCACCATCATCACTACCACCACATCATCATCATCATCATCACTACCTCCACCATCATCATCAGCATCATCACTACCACCATCACCACCATCATCACTACCACCACCATCATCACTATCACCACCATCATCACTATCACCACCATCATCACTATCACCACCATCATCACTACCACCACATCATCATCATCACTACCTCCACCACCATCATCATCATCATCACTACCTCCACCATCATCATCATCACAACCACCACCACCATCACTACCACCACCACCATCATCACCATCATCACTATCACCATCACCACCATCATCACTACCACCATCATCACTACCACCATCACCACCATCATCACTACCACCATCACCACCATCATCACTACCACCAAGTCATCATCATCATCATCATCATCACTACCTCCACCATCATCATCATCACTACCTCCACCATCACCATCATCATCACCACCACCATCATCACTACCTCCACCACCATCATCATCATCATTATCTCCATCACCACCAATACCTCCATCATCATCATCATTATCATCACTATCACCATCACCTTCATCATCATCATCATCATAACTACCTCCACCACCAGCATCTTCATCATCATCATCACTACCATCACCATCATCACCACCATCATCATCATCCTCACCTCCACCTCCACCACCATCATCATCATCACTACCACCACCATCATCACTACCACCACCACATCGTCATCATCATCACTACCTCCACCACCATCATCATCATCATCACAACCACCACCACCATCACTAACACCACCACCATCATCATCATCACTGCCACCATCATCATCACTACCTCCACCACCATCATCATCATCACCACCTTCATCATCATCATTATCTCCATCACCACCAGTACCTCCATCATCATCATCATTATCATCACTATCACCTTCATCATCATCATCATAACTACCTCCACCACCAGCATCTTCATCATCATCATCATCACTACCATCACCATCATCACCACCATCAACATCATCATCCTCACCTTCACCACCATCATCATCATCACTACCACCACCATCATCACCACCATCATCATCATCCTCACCTCCACCACCATCATCATCATCATCATCATCATAACTACCTCCACCACCACCATCATCATCATCATCATCATCACTACCACCACCACCACCATCATCACTATCTCCATCATCATCATCATCATCATCATCACCATCATCATAACCATCAACACTACCACCACCACCACCATCATCATCACTACCACCACCACCTCCACCATCATCATCACCACCGCCTCCATCACTACCACCACCACCTCCATCACTACCACCACCACCACCATCATCATCATCATCACCACCATCATCATCATCATCACCACCATCATCATCACTACCACCACCACCATTCTCATCATCACTACCTCCACCACCATCATCATCACTGCCACCACCATCATCACCACTACCTCCACCACCACCATCATCATCATCATCATCATCACTACCTCCACCATCATCATCATCACTACCACCACCATCACCACCATCATCATCATCACTACCAGCATCATCATCATCATCATCACCACCATCATCATCATCATCACTACCTCCACCATCATCACTACCACCACCACCACCATTCTTATCATCACTACCTCCAACACCATCATCATCATCACTGCCACCACCATCATCACCACCACCTCCAACATCACCACCATCATCATCATCACTACCTCCACCACCATCATCATCATCATCATCACTACCAGCACCATCATCATCATCACTACCTCCACCATCATCATCATCATCACTACCAGCATCATCATCACCTCCTCCACCATCATCATCACTACCTCCACCACCATCATCATCATCATCACTACCAGCACCATCATCATCATCATCACTACCTCCACCATCATCATCATCATCATCATCATCACTACCAGCATCATCATAATCATCACCTCCTCCACCATCATCATCATCACTACCACCACCATCTCCATCATCATAACTACCTCCATCATCATCACTACCTCCACCATCATCATCATCACTACCAGCACCACCATCATCATCACCTCCTCCACCATCATCATCACTACCTCCACCACCATCATCATCATCATCATCACTACCAGCACCATCATCATCATCACTACCTCCACCATCATCATCATCATCATCACTACCAGCATCATCATCATCATCACCTCCTCCACCATCATCATCATCATCACTACCACCACCATCTCCATCATCACTACCTCCATCATCATCACTACCTCCACCATCATCATCATC